TTGTTTGACTCCCTATGGCTTCCAACAAAAGAGATTTTCTGCTTTTACATCTTACCAGACATTTTTTCTAGTAATTTTCCGTCAAACAACTGTTTGCAGCGCTCGAAATTGCAAAAGATATGATTGCATGCATTTGTGGGTAAATGTTCAACAACTAAAATTTCCTCCTCTTTAGTCGCAAATTTTCAACTAGTTTTTGACTAAAATGGCATGGTGGGGTCATGTGTACTAGAGACATAAGCGGTCAAGTGTTGATTGACACTCTTGATTGATACCCTCAATCGATACCCTTGATCGACCCTCAATTGATACTTGATCGACACTCCATCAACACCTTGGTTGGCACTCGATTAACACTCCATCGACCTCTCGGTTGACAGTTGACTAATTTTCAATCGATTCATTTGAGTTGGTCGACACTTGACTGACTGTTCATTGAGTGTCAACCAAGTATCAGTAGCGATATTGATCAAACTGTGCAGTGATCGAGATGTCGATCAAGGGCATTGATGGAGAGTATCGATCAACACTCAACTGTGGATGCCTTTAGTACACATGATCCAGATAGTGAAGGAATAAAAATTTCAATTGATTTATTCTCAAATTGTACTATTTTTGTGCTCTATCTTTTTCCCAGCAACCAATAAGAATGGAACACTAAAACAAATCAACCAATCAGATCTCAAGGCTAGAACTCAAATTATTCACAAATCACACTATTTAGTGCCCTAAATTGCATCTTTTTCTGTTTTGCATACAAAATGAGATTTAAATGTGTTTCTGCATGGTTCTGCTTTTAACAAACCAGCTACTGGATCAATAAAATGTTGGTGCTGACTGAGGCAATTAAAAATTGATGTAAATAAAGTGGCAAATATTGAACTTTGTGTCATGTAATTTTAGTCTGATCAAAATCATACTTGTTATTTCCCATTGAAATCACTCGTATGATTTCAGACCAAATTGCACTCCACTCAATTACCATTATAAAACAATAATTTAATATGTTTATCTGTTTTAGTATGTACCAAATATCCACTTCTATATGTATAGGCTCTACACTAGTGCCCAGTCTTTCTAGTAGAATTCCTTTGGGTCACACCATTCTTAAAAAATAACAAACGTCTTAGCTAGACCATCAGAGTGTAAGCTTCACCCACAGAAAAATAAATGGATCACTCATGAATTAATTTCAACAATGTCAGTTTGCACTGTGTCAATTTTTTTATCTGACTGATAATCTTGGCAACAATACTAAGATGTGATATAATTGTCATACTGAGAGTGGACGTTCAACTTGATATAACTTTTTCTAAATCAAAGGCATGAAAATTTTATCACAGATTTTTAAAGGCATTGTTATTAAACATAATGAACAATGCAGGCACCAGACTATGTGTAAGTTAAAACTGAAAGTTAGATTTTGTTCCCTTGGCAAAAGACTGGGGTGAAATCAAAATTTTCAAGGTCCCAACCGGTACCATGAGATTCGCCCAAGGAGTGAGTTGCAATTGGCAGGAATATTTTATTTCATAGTCACAAGGTTAAAAAGGTTCCAATCAGTATTGATAAGAAACTGGTATTTTGGATATATTTAAAAACTTTTAACTTATACTATTGTCTGTGGCTTTTATCCTCGTTTGTATAGCTGAGAACATACAAGTAAATCTTTGTGCAAAACCATTCAAATTTAAAAGAGTTTTAATTCTGTACTTTTTTTAATACAAATCATTTTCTTGTGAAAAGTTTTGCACAAAGACTCAGAACAGAGGAAAGGGTAACTTGAAATTGCATGATAAAAACTACCATTATAGTGTAAACATAATAAACTTACCTCTGACTCTTCAGTCTTTCCTTTTCTTATATCTTTGCTAATATCTTCAAATATATCTGTTTTCACCACAAGGGATGAACAACCAAACCAATTGATGTGATATGTAAGCCATAATATTTAAATTATAGTTATCAATTATTTGTCAGACTGCATAATTTCAGTATTTCTACAAGTAGTATGCACTTGAAAAATTCTATGGACAATCTTCCAAGCATTAGTTTCATGAGCTGCCAATAGCTTGTAAAATTACAAAATTTCCTTAGACTATATATATAGGTGCTACAAGGATCATGGTCGGCTTCAGTGCACCCTTATGAGCATAATTTAGGAGTTAAAGGGTTATATTAATACAGTTTATGTGCAAGATTTTACCAAAGTTTGATACATCCTTTGATACATCCTTCACAAGCAACTCAAGTAAAATGAATTGTCAAATTTTTGATGACCTTCAAATGTGAGCATCCGAATCTTCTTCTGGGTCCCTTTTGAAAGCTACAAGTTAAAGGGAATTTGTTTATTTGCCCTCAAATTTGGACTGTAGCTACTTTGACATATCTAACAAAAACGTGTCTGCAAATTTATTATTTCCAAATTTTTTTCTCAGAGAATGATTTTTCTATGATCACTCCATATCTTTTTAATCCTATTTCAAAAATGTTCTGTAACTTTTCACAGAAACTGAATATGGCAAATTGCAGACATGTTCTTTTTTTGGCACTTTGGGTCCAGAATGTGAGAGACATATTAAATAGACGAAAAACAAAATTCGCTTTGACTTGTAGCTTTCAAAAGGTGATTTGAACACTCACATTAGGAGGTCATAATTAAGAAACTTGACAATTCATTTTACTTCAAAATTCTTGGTATAGTTTGA